TATACACTTGATGGTAGTATAGGTGATACTGTACTAAATGTATATCTACAAACAGGATAAACACTTGATAAATCTGAATCTTTCTACACAATGTAACATATATGCATAGAACCCTCACCCTTGAGCTTCAGAAATAGCTCCTATGATATCCAATATTTGGGGCCAGCCATGAGAGAGGGATTCTCCATTACTGTGTAGTACCTGTTGAGTACAATCAATCTGTTTTTGTCTAATGTCAGGGTGAGGAATGGATGAAAGTTCTTGAAGTGGAGAAAGAAGCATCACTTGCAATTTCTGAAAGAAATTCACAATATTACTTAGTTCATGGTTGCCTAATTTGCATCCTAAACTCTTAGCATCAATAAACCTATATTTCTATAAAAAAGTAACTATTCAAATAATAAAACATACCAAAATAATATTTTGAAGTATGATTTATCATCTTTATTAAAGAAAACTTCTATCATAAACTAAGCTACAGATTTTTTCCCTTATGCATTAAAAGCTACAATAAATATCTGCAACATCTGAGCATGTAGCTGAAATACTAAAAACAAAGATGGATCCCTCAACCATAGTGAGCCACTACAAAGCAACATGTTACTCACATAAAACTGAGGCAGTCTGGGAATGGTACTGTCCCTACTACTAAAAAGGAGAACATAATTTGATATCCTCAACCAGATCATGAATTAATTTTTGAAAAAATATAACAGACTGGAAATTTTTCCTATAAAGGTTGAAGACAAATTTGAATGAATAATAGTTTTTATATCCCCAACATTAAATCAATTGCACTGAAGCCCAACTAACAAAAATGGCCGTAAACTAAATAAGGTTTTTGTGATAAAATGTTGATTATGGACATCAATGACTTTGAAAGCACCGAATCCTCTGGATGAGGGAGTCCAGTTAGGTAATTTCCATCATTTATCTTCAGACCAGCTGGCATCAAAATAGAATTTACATCATGTTGACATGGACCACAGTGATAACTTGATGATAACAGAGAACACAGTGTGAATGTGATGATGGCATAGACCATAATACAAATATGATGATGGCAATGACCACAGTTAGACCTGATGAGTACATGAGTACTGGAGTGTAGCTGT